GGTAGACATGCTTCTGTCTTGGTGTTTTTCACATGCTGGGTTCTGGTCAAAGAAATGTGTATTAGACACACTTTTGAAAGATTAAGAGGTCGTTTGGTAGCTGGTTAGAAGAAAGGTTATTCATGTATAAGGGTAACATAACTTATACCATGTTTGGTAGGCAATAGTTATTTTGTATAAAATTCTACATAACTAATACCATGTTTGGTTGACATTTTTCAATTATGCATAAATAATACATGTATAAGTTATGAGTCAATCTGTGTATTATTTTATGCGGGGTAGAAGATGGAATAACTAATACATGTATTAGTAATACATGGATAAAATACTGAAATGACAAATTTACCCCGATCACTTTACACATAAGGCTTCCTTATTTCTCTGCCAACCCGTCAACAGGTTTCACTTGCTTTCACTTGCCAACTATATACCTTGTCTTCTCTCATTTTTAAAGAACAAACTAGCAAAAGCAAACTGGAGAAGCCACTAGAAAATGGAAATACCAAAACTAAGAAGTGAAAATCAAATATGTCTAAACTTCACATAGTTCAATAGTATGACGAAGAAGTGAAAGTAACACCCAAAGTTCCTAACTAAATTGTTTCCTACATAAATGGAAAGAGAGAAAAAACAATGCAAAAGAAGGTCAGGGGTATAGTTGTACACAAGCATTTTACTTTAAAATTTATATAATGTATATCAATTTCTAATACAACAAACCAAACATTCAAAAAAATAATCTCTGCATAACTAATACCTGCATAACTAATCCCTGCATTACTTATCCCTGCATAACTAATCCCTGCATAACTAATACATGTATAACTAATACCTGCATAACTCTAACCGGCAACCAAACGACCCCTAAGTGTATAATATTATTTTTGCCTACAAAAAATGTAATACATGGTTTTGGTCCATAGTTCAGGTGCCAACTTCTGTATTTGGCTTAATTGAAATGTTGAGTTTACTGGTTCAGATGGGTTGTATGGGAACTTTTCAACCATCTTAGCTTGAAAAGTTCTCAAACCTCTTAGGGTAAACTTTCTTCGTTTTTACAGTTGGTATACGTATGATAACGTAATATCCAAAATTAAGGTGTCCGCAATGAAAAGTTTTCGATTTTTCATTGCTACTTGCGAAAACTGATGACGACCTTAGCACCAAAATAAAAGCTTTTTCCAATGGAGATAAAACGCCAATTCAAACTAAACATAGCATTGCAAGAAAGGGAGGAAGAAAAAACAGGTAACGATTTCAAATGAAAATGTTTTACAAATTAAAAAAAAATCCAATGGAGAGAAATTGAGTCAATTCAAACTAAATATAGCATTACAGATAAGGAAAAAGACAGAATTACCCACTTGTGAGAGTGAATAGAAAGAAAGCACTATCTATATGGCTATTGCTAAAGTTGCAACATAAAGAAATAGTATGTTGAAGAAGAATGTTTTGCCATAACTCAAACTTGCTATTTACCCAAAAAAGAAAAGAAAAAGGCAAACAAGCTATTTACCCAAAAAGAAAAAAGTGTTAAATTCGTCTGGTTAAAACTATGTTGGAAAATATTTGGTGCTAATTATCAAATTCAAGTTGAAGATTGTACCTCCTCTAAATATTTATGAATTTGTGTAGCTTTTTCTCTTGGAATTGATGTCAAGCTATCCTTGTAAACTATAACTCTGAGACTTTTAGGAAAACCATGAAAACTGAATTCCTTGATTTCATTAGATTTAAGATTATAGGACATCAAACATCCACTTCTACTCTGATAAATCATCAAATAACCCTTCCAAACAGCTAATGGAGATTCAATAAGAAGACCTCTTATTGTGTATTTCTTTATCCAGGACTCGTATACATTGTAATCATGCATTATCCATATGTTCATCAGATCTTTTTCCATAGGAATCACAGGCTCTGGATAGGGGTAATAAATCAAGGTTAGAGAATCATGTAATAAAACGAGTCTAAAGAACGGTCCATCGATTAAATGACAAGTTTCAGGAATTTTCATACTGCGAAAGATCTCGGTGCTCATGTCGAAACAAAGAATTACGTATGCGTCCATATCTAGAGATGCAATCCAGTGACAAGATTTCTTGTAAAACATCTCAGACCAATCGACACAACAAAACTCGGTCAACTGTTGACCTACTGCATGATCTAATTCTCTTCAGTAATCAATACTCAATTCATAGATTTCAACTTTTCTCTCTATTTCATCTGGATAATCGTCTTGATCTACCATGTAAATTACCGAAATTCTAATAATCTTGTAGTCATTGGAAACAGAGTCAAAGCCAAACCCAACACATTGAACGTTACGATAGAGATGTTGTGGACAACCAAAAGGTCTGGGTGGGAGAACTCTATAATATCTTGTCGATGGATTAAATTAGATGGTTGTTTTGGAATCCATCAAAGCAATCAACCCATGGCAAGGACCGATGAGTTGATCGTGATCAAAATTACAAGTAGAGGTCAAATGAGTCACATCTAGATCTTCAAAAATTGGGTTAAGATAATCATCATCATTGCCTGAAAGAAAAGACAATATAGTTTTATATCTATAGTTTTCTTGTCTGAAGCAACGTTTCAAGAGAATGAATTCATCTTTGGAAGTTGTTGTACGATAGAGATAAAGATTGACGAAAATGGAGGATTGTATGAGAGTGTAAAAAGTTTTTGAGACACCTTTCAATCTCATGAGAGATTTCACTGAAAGTCTCAAAAGTATATAAATTACCACATCCTCGGGCATCTTCTTCATAATTCCATCCGCCATATATTTATTTTACACGTTAGAGATAGACTATTCTATGTGTTGGTTCTAATAATTGATCGTACAAAACTTCACTGAATACAAACCTTAGAAAATTGAGAAGGTGGTGTCGTTTGACCTTGTGAGCACAAAACCTATTGGGAAGACCTTAATTGCGGAAACACACGTCGTCATAAATATGCCAGGCCATGTGGAAACCGGGAAAAAGATCCAGTCAAGTATTATTGGGTAAAATTCAAAATAGCCAGATTTACAGCTGGTCGTTCAAAAATAGCCCAGTTTTAAAAGTAATCGAAATTTAGCCACTTTTCATGTAAAGATAAATCTGAGCGAAAACACTGTTCAAAACCCGGAAAAATACGCCAGTATATTATGCTGGAGTTCCAGCATAAGTATACTTAAACTCCAGCATATTATACTGGAGTTCCAGGATAAGTATGCTGGAACTCCAGCATAATATGATGGAGTTCCAGCATAAGTACACTAGAACTCCAGCATAATATACTGGAGTTCCAGCAAGTATACCGGTCCAGCATAATATACTGGAGTTTGGAGCACCGGTGCTCCAGTCTCCAGTATATTATACTGGAGCCAACAAAGTATACCAGTACAACATAATATGATGGAGTTCATACACAAGTGCACCGAACTCCAGTATATTATGCTGGACCGGTCTCTGTTGCAGCAAAATAGTGGCTATTTTTCATTGACTTGGTAAACGCTGGCTATTTTTAAATGACCAGTCCGAAAACTGGCTATACCGTTCTATTTTGACAGTATTATTGCCTCAAGTAATATTACCGTGGATTGTTGCAATCAAAATTAAAGAGTCAATTTCATGTTATCCCTTAACTTTTAAGGATTGGGAAAGGCTACCCCTCTAATCTTTTGAACGGATAAAAGGAACCCCCTTGAGTAATATTTTCTGGTGAGACAGAGAATTTATTTACAAAAATGTATCATTGTCTTTTTTCTTTTTTCGTAAAGGTTTTTTTTCCTAATACAAAGTCGTCAATATTGATAATAGACCTATATATGCTGTTGGTTTGTTGGTTCCTGTTAGCTAGAACTTTGGATAACTATATGAATTTGGGACGGAGGATCGGAGTATATAGTGTTTTTGGCATTACTGTCACTTTTGTAATTTGTTAGAGAAATTGCAATTCGTTGTTTAAAGATATTGAAGAAAATTTTTAGGGGTTGTGACCAATTAGCTTGTAAAAATTGAAATATTTGATGTGTGCTATTCTTTCTATTCCTTTTGATTCATGTAAACTATTAAACAAAATAACAAATCTAACTGAAAGTTAAATAATAAAATCAAATATTTTCTCTGACATGTCTGAATTTGATAAAGTAGTTCTTTTTTTAGTACTTCCGTAGCAATTCCATATGGGTTTGGCGCTCACTCCTTTCTTTTGTTTAACTCGAGATTGAGTGTTATATATATCACATGACTATTTTAAATTGGAATATATTGAATTTCCAAAATAAATTGGTCGAGTAATGATATGTCCAAGTCATCAGTAATACTTAAAATTAAATAATTTCTTTCGTAATGTTTTATGAATCAAGTAACAATAATAATTATATTTTTATAATTAAACAAGAAAATATAGTTTAACACTTTGTATTAACATAAAGATTTTGTTAGTCATTATTTAATTCCCTCCACCTTCATGACTTCACACATAAAGTCTATTGATTTCGGGATAAGCAAGTCTCTTCCTATTTCATGGGAAAGGAGTTCAATAACGATGAGCACGAAAACAAACAATGAAGATACGTCCAATAATTAATGAGATAAACTATAAGTAGCTTGGTTTTTGATGTTCTATTTAATTTGATGGAAAAAAGGCAATATTATTGGTGCGTCAACCTAAATATCAAATTTAATGTTTTTTTATATGAAATCATCTTGTGTTGGTATAACATTCAAAATTTGATTTGTATTCTTGCAGCAATCATTTTGATCCATAATTCTTCAACTTTATTCTTATTGATATTTCAGACTGTAAGTGTAAGTCAATTCTATGTAGTTATTCGTTTAGTCAAATAATACTATTTTCCTAAATTAATATATCAAGTTATTGTACTCGGTGCTTTGTTTAGATACTATTAATATTATTTTGCAATATCGTATTTTACAAAATATGGCGTGCCGAGAAACTAGTATTAACAAAAAGTAGAGGCAAAACTAGGTGTTCTTCAAGTATATTGTCAAAATTTCCTTTCACAAGATTCTGGTTAGCCGTAGGCTTTTCTAAATCCCAGTGTGCAAACCAAAGGATATTGAGTTGTACAAGCATCAATAATTGAGAGAGTTGTACAAAAAATCTCAAGGATTGCACGTAGTTAATAAGTCACTATAAAACAACACAAAAAGATACAGTTCACTCAACGATTGCCTTGGGTTCCAAACTCCATATAGGGAAGGAGCGTTGTTGTTTGCAAGGTCTTGATCATTTAAATGAACCCACCTTTCAATCCATTTGTGAAAATTTGATGATCTATAAACCGTCGCTAATGACTGATCGGCTCATGTTAGAGCATGATTTATGTTAGAGCGTGATAAATCATCACTTCGTGCCGACCTATTGCCAATCCACATTCGAGTCCATTGAGCTGAGTTTATTACCACAGGTGTAGAGTCGAAGATCTTCATCATTGCCAAGCAACAATCTTCCCCATCTCCCGTCAGTAAAGTCGAAGATTAGCAGGACTTTTCTTCACTTTGAAGGACCAGTAATGATCATCCAGCTGCGTTAGAAAGATAAAGTAGGTTCATTGTCATTGTAAACATGCATATTCCATATTATTTGAATCTGCCACAATCAGCAGTTGAGTTCTCCTGAGTTTTTTCTCTCTTTTTTTTTTGTGGATAGCGTAACAGTCATTGAAGTCAAGGGAGAAACTCGTATAAAAGCGATGTACAAATACACAATATGATTTTTTAATAAGATGTACTCTATCGTCTATTCTAATCAGGATTCTATTAACTGCTCTAACAATTTATAAAAAATATGAATGATTCAAATATGTGCAAAGGAGTGAAAACTCCTTCAAAATCTCCTCCATTTATTTCTTCCCTAATTGTTCAGACGAGTGTCAAAACAACCACTTCCCATGGTCATCCTCTTCTCCTTTTCCTTCTGAATGCATAGAGCAAGTTTTTGCCAGTGTTCGGCATTGCCTATTTAGCTTCAAACAGGTTCTAGACTCCAAAACAGATGCACTGCCTGAAATGAACTAGTAAGTGGTTCACATCTTCCCCGGACTCTTGCACATGAAGCACATATTAATATGAATTTCATCCCTCTTTCCGGATAGCTTCCGACACAGCTAACCACTCAGATAAGTTGATTTTCTGAGTTGGAAGAGAATAAACTTGGATCTGAGGATGTTGTGATTAACCATAACCTGTGTGATGTCAGAAATGAAAAGAAAAAGTGCTTACGACAAAAGTGTAGTAGTATTTGATCAAAAAACAAGTTTGCTACCACATGCAAATCGCAAGGCTTACACACCTAAACATCTTTTCGACCAGCAGGTAAAGAATATATAAACACGGGGTGTAGTGGGGGGGGGGGGGTGGGGGTCNNAACCACAGGCAGGTAAGACATAAAAAGCCAATTAACCACAAGGAATGAAAAACCATTTTCCTTGTAAGTAAACAATAAGAAATTTCAGAACTTAAAGAAATTAAACAAGCCAGAGAAAATGGATGTAACTTCTTATCAAAATTAAACAATTTTCACAAATTAAAAGACCAGGTCTCTGATGGAACATTAAGCATTATGGTACTCCGAAAACTCGGTACTAATCACACACGAGTATGTTGACTGTCAAGTATTTCCTTATCAAGTAGCTAGCTCCGGCAATTGCAAATACTCTTACGCAGTAAGAAGCAAGAGTATGAATCATGAAGGCTGAGTTGCAGCAGCAACTACATCTGTAAAGTATTAAGTGGAAAATTAACCATAGAAAAAGCAATTGGTTTTTTTCCCTTTTCGATAATGTACGAAAAGCAATTATTTTCTGGGGCAAATCTTTTTTGTTTATAACGTTTTTGGTCTTGTGTACACATGTATGGGGATAACAGCCCCATTTGGGTGTTAGATCCATAAAGTTTATTTACCTGTGAAAAAGACCTTAGCATCAACCAAAAAAGACACTAGGGGGTTATTTGGTACAATGGTGGGATATACCATGGGGTGGGATATCCTATAGGATTAGTTATATATCCCACCTTGACACCTTCTATATGGGATAACTAATCCCACCATTTTAGTGTAAAAATTATCACTGGATTAGCTTATACCCCAAACCAAACACAGATAAAGTTAATCCCAAACTTTATTCCGGGATTATTATCCTTATCTCATGTACCAAACGACCCCTCGGTGATTTCTTCTCATCTGCCTAAGCCTTGATGGGTAGAGTAATGCGTACCTATGCTGAAGAGAGGTATTAAGTATGCGTTGGAATATTCAAGGTGCGCGTAAGCAGGTTCGGACACCACCGCCAAAAATAAAAGAGAAAAACTTGTGGCTATACTGAGTAGAAGAGACAATATGTAAAATCTGGACCAACTCAGTCAATTAATAAGTTTTGCTTGATGTCCTAATTACACTCAAAAGAAAACTACCCCGAGAATTGTTTCCTAAGATATAGTACCAAATTACACAAGATAATTAAATATCCTTGTGATCTCATCTGAGTTGCAGGATCCGCAGATAAAGGAGTTAAATATTCACATCTCTTATTCACAACAAAAAAGGCCAATACAGAGTTTAGAAAGGTTAATACATTATTTCAGGTCTCTTATTTTACTTATCCCCATCAAACGCATATCAGGTAATGTTTCCATAAATCTCCTAAGACCTGAAACAGAAATCTTGGAGGTGCATCAAAGCATCAGGAAATGACAACTTAGGTTCTAATGATACCCCTAATTCCTCTGCTGCCTAGAATGCAAAGGGAAGAAGAAATAATGTTTCATTACCGGTCCCAAGAGTACGCGAAATTAAGATTATCTGGAAAGTGAAATGCAGAACATGACTATGGTTATGATCCATACCTTATGAGTCTCCCTGCTGAACAACAATGTAGGTGTCCTCAATGTTGGTAGATTAAATCAAAGGCAACCAATTATCAGGTGTTCCTGTAAGTACGCTTAGCAGCATCAACAGTGTTGGAGAGGAGCATAGAGATTGTAATGGGTCCAACACCTCCAGGAACAGGGGTAATAGCTGAGGCCTTCACTATCGCTTCCTCATAGCAAACATCTCCAATCAGACGATGGCCCCGCAAACTGCCAGTATCCTGCATAAAATCATAGCCATCAATATAAGAATGACACTCATAATTCATTATAGAGCAACTCGCAAAGTGTGGACTTGAGACTCCTTTCAAAGAGAAGTGTTCTGTGTGAACCGAGATATTTAGGAAAGGAACTGTTGTAGCACTAATGTGCATAGCAAACAAAAGTGTAAATTGCCGAACAAGTATCTCAAATCATTTTAGCAAGCAAAAGAAATACAAGCTTGTATGTGCAAATTTAACAGCTTGTGGCTACCTCAACTGAATTTGCACCCATATCAACAACAATAACCCCTGGTTTCAGCCAGTGCCCTCGAATCATGTTTGGAACTCCAATATCTGAAACCAAAATGTCAGCCCCGCAGGTTACTTGCTCTGGGTTCCCGGTGAATGCGTGCACAGTAGTGACTGTTGCATGGTGCCTCTGCAATTAAAATATGCATTAAGCCAAGGATAATAGTTTACAATTTAGCAGTAAAAGAAAATGGTCTACCTGCATTAGCAAGGAAGTGGGCAACCCCCCAAGCTTGCTCCTCCCGACTACCACTACATTTTTACCTTTGATTTCCACATCATTCCTGAGCAGTAACTCAATGCAGCTCTTTGAAGCACAAGGGATGAACGAGGGCTCCCTTCCGCGCATGGCAAGATTACCAACATTGGTGGGATGAAAGCCATCCACATCTTTCTCCGGACTCACATAGCTTATAATCTTTTCTTCATCCAAGTGCTGTGCCCAAAAAACAATACCAAAGTTAAATATGCTAAAGATCACACATTAGGACTAATCTCAGAAATAAAATCATCTGACCATGAAGAATATCAGCTGCACAAAGAGAAATATTCCAGACAGCACAGACATCTGAGAATGATGAGGACGTTTTCTCCATGGTGCAAACATAAAAGCGCTGACATTAAGGGAGATGAAACTTGTGCAGATCTGTCTTATCCCCAGGAAGTCTTATGTTTCATTCCAACAGAAAAAAACAATAAAACTAAAGCATTTACGTACTATCTCAACTAAAGCACTTATGTACTATCTCCCCGTGCTTCTGAAAACTGCCAATGCATAAGTGCTTCTAGACCAATAACGGATGTTAACCCAACTCAATCATAAAATTCCAGATGCCCAGTAGAGAGAAAATTAGTCGACAACAGTCATTTGCCCAATCACAATGAAGAAACATTTTGTGTATGGTATACAGTGTCCTCAGCTCGCTCACACGAAAATGCACCCATTTACAAAAAATATTTCCTCCTGACGAAAATTATCCACAGTAATTGCTGCTTCCAAACAAGCCTTCCAAGCGAGGGAAAAACTATAATAGAAAAGCATTATTAGGACCTTTAATCCTCCAAGTTATTTTCAAAGGAGAAAAAGCCTACTCCGTGTTACAAGGCTGTAGTAGTACACTCATGAAACCTACCAAACAATAATGAGGATGATGATGATATCGACAGCAATAACGCCGCTAATAATGATACACCAACTCAAGGAATGCATCACGAAAAGCATACCATTGTTGGATACTTTCCTACTCAAGTTCTCTCAATCTCCAAAAGAATCCTAATGTTACGGATCAATCAAAAAGATAAAAGGATATGGCTCCAACTCATAATCTTATCTAGCTCTTATCAGATGTGTGCTGGTGAACAATTTGAGAATTGTGAACAGTGACTGCTTCCATGTCGCTTCACTTTGTCAACAATAGTTATGTATGGGAATATATTCTTCAAATCCCTTCTTTGCACCGAGTCAGAGTGTCCTCCCAATATAAAGAAAACCCCCCACCTTGAAAGAAATGTGAATGGACCATCTAACCTTTCCTAATCCCCTTCCACAAGATAAAGAATGTATCCTATCTTTTTTACTGGTCTATCTTCCTCTCTCATTATTATAATAGAAAAATTTAACTTTATCAGGCAGTTTATTCTCCTCAATGTTAAATTTTAGAAACCATTTTCCTAGAAGGGCTTGGTTTAAAAGGTGGTAATGATTCCTAACTCGGAACCCTGCACAAGAAATGGTGGATGTCCAATCTGATAAGACAACCTTTACTAAATTTGTTTTTCCCTCCCAATAAAGGTAATAAATTCCATCTGAAATGGACATGGACATGACCAAAAGTGACATAGAATAAGCGGGAGATTTGACAGAGAAGTTTTCACAAGGGTCAATTTCCCTCCCCGTGAAAGATATTGCTCCTTATAAGTAGCAAATCTAGATTCATCGAGCTCAACACAATCATCTCTTGATTAATTTCATTTTTTTTTGAGTGATTGATTAATTTCATTTTAATAGAATGGAATAGAGCTCTCAGAAGAATTTGATTAGGAAAATTAGTGGGTAGAATACTAACTAAATGTGACTACAAGGCAAATACATGACTATTTAAAGGCAAAGTAAAAATATGAGGTTATGTGCTTCAGAGATCTCGACATATGAGCACATATTGCACAACGAAAGCAGCATGAGCACATAGTGTCATCTGGAGTACCCCAAAAATCTGGAAACAGCTAAATCAAAAAGGAGGTATGCTATTACAAACTAGAAAAATAATTTGAAGTTAATACGGCAAAAAGAGGTGAAGAAAATGAAGAACAAATTCAGCTGAGAACTGGAGATGGGTAAATTACTTTTGGTAGAGGAAGCTGCACAACTACACCATGTATTAATGGATTCTCATTAAAACTTGAAACTGCATCAAATAATTCAGCTTCAGTGCAATCCTCAGGAAGTTCCACCGTGAATGGTGCTATTCCAACTTTCATGCAAGCTTTCATCTTAATATGGACAAATGATTGAGAATCCTTCCTTCCACCCACAAGGATAACACCTAAACCTGGAGTCTTTCCAATCGTATTCTTCATTTCACATATTTCAGCTGCTATCCGTGAGTTTATATCGTTTGCGATTGGCTTTCCTTCAAGCACTCTAGCTGTCTGACAAATAGCTGCTTTATTTACACAACAGTAAAATAGTTAATTGTGCTTTTAAACCAAAAATAATGTGCATAAGGAAACCAAACACAAATAAAAATTGTTCAACAAACTAATCCAACAGCAACAGAAAACATCACAGTTATTTTCAAATAACTAAAAGTGCGCTCTCATATTTACATTCTCTCAGCATTACTGATAGCAAGGTAGTTACTTTGAAACACGAGGAAGTTGGCCACAGAGGAGATAATTTACGTTATTTGATTTATCATCCACGCCATTGACAGTTCGGGTAAGTAAAAGTTCTGAAACAACTTTAGGGTACAATAGATAGTTCTTGAGCCTAGGGTGACAGCACTCTGTAGTTTTTCATTTGGTGATAAATACAGCGCTCCATATACAATACTAGTTTGTAAATGTGAAAGAGAGAGACGGTGTAGAGCTACCCGAGCATCAGGGTATTTGGGGTAAATTCCTACCACATGGGACAAGGAAATGTTAGTAGATAGTTGGTACCTCCCCCGAAAGGGACTGGAACAGCCTTCGGGCTTTACCTGTTACCAGACACATGGGTCAAGGGAGAGGTGCAGAAGGGGATGTAGCATACTAAGGTGCCAAAGGAAGATGCTTTTCTTACTTGGTGAGCATCCTGCAATGCGACATTCAAGAATGACATTTTAAGGAGTTGATCTTGTATGTGCAAAGAGGCAGGAGAGGATGCCGATTATTCACAGTTGCATTGCGAGATGGTCACCCAACTCTTGGAACAAATGTTCTAATTGTTCTATATCAGGTGAGTATTGGTGCTTCCAAGAACAGTAATGGGAAAAAGTTGCTAGCGGGAAGATACAGAAAATTGTAAGAAAAGGTAAGCCCTTAGGGAGGCAGTACCTCTTTGTATTTTTTGGTCAGTTTAGAAATAGAAGACAAATTTTGTAGTATGAGTAGGACGTAGAGAGCATAGAAATAACTCTTATGTTTCATCTATATTTTTGTTGTAAGGAGAATATTCCTGTTTGAATGGATAGTTAGACAGATCTAATAAAAATAGACATATTTGATAGAGGAGTGAGAATACTCCACTTCATCACATTATATGCAATTTTTACACCGTCTTAGTGTGTCACTAGTGAAACTCTTTATGCATAAAGAGAACACCTTTTTGCAGTCGCATTGTGAAGGCATCAGATCCACACCCATGGAGAAAGAACCTCATTACCCTTAGATCTCACTAATGAAAACATAACCATGTTTTAATCAATAATTCCACTAGTAACAAAAACATGGTGTCAAAAAGATATACAAGTTATGCATATGATTCGTCCTGAGTCATCAACAATTATCCATCAATTTTCCCCAACTTGCTGGGGACCGGTGCGTAACTTTTGTTGTTGTTTTATCAATACAATATGATATCTATCGTTACACCAAAAATGCAAGTGAAACGAAAAAGATCTTTTAATTTCACTTGTAGGATCATAGAAATCGTAACTTTCCCGACCAGGCACACCAATTACTTAAAGACTATCAAAACAATGGTATTTTTACCTTACAGGTTAATCGCAACATCCCCAACCTGATTCTCACACAGTTGATACCCCGTTTTCCATCAACCATTATTTTCAGGAAAGCAAATACATGTTACATTTGACATTAGAATAGTAAAAATTGTACTTATAAAATCCCCATCTTGTTTGCAAACGAGACATAGTTATAGTTGTTTTATGAACTAGTAAATCCTCAGCACTAGCCGGAAGCACTTATGCACGGGTTAAGCCATTTCTATGTACTTGCAAATCCATCAATTACAATAAAACATTATCAGATGGAGCTATCAGTATGGGGTCCAGGAGGATATACGGGAGAGGTGGGGAAACAAATTTTAAGCATAAGGCTCGAAAAGAAGTAGCTTTTTTCGCGTTGTCAGCAGTGCACGATACACAACTATTGCATTACATGATGGTTTCACGTTACAATAAAGTTATCTTCTTGTTTCATTGCATGATGGCTTCACTACTGTGATTCCATGTACTCTTGTTTTTTGACAGATCGTGGAGGTTACCAAAGATGCAGTGGCAGAAGCAACCATGTTAAGTGGATTATACAGAACAAAGGTAGTCTGAAAATGTCATCTCTCTTTAGTGTCTATGAATGAAAAAAATAAGGAAAATCTTTCAAATTACTGGGAAAGATATAGAAATCATTAGAAGATTTTTTTTCTTTATTTTCACTGGTCACTTGGTTTGCGAACAAGTTATACTGAGATTGTAATGTGAGGATTACAGTCCGAGGAATAGATAATGATGGATAATTTGGTGGATATACTTTTATTTGTACATGTTTGGTTCATTGGATTAAAAATGAGATATATGGAGTATAATATAAGACATGTGTTTGGTTTTACACTAGATAAACTTGAATAAATTTTTATTTTCAATTTTAACTTTGGTTTCCTTTAAGACTTTGAGAGAAGAGAAGGGCAAATGCGTTGCTTTGTTGTTTTATCCCAGGATTAGTAATTCAGGATTGTTATCCCATATAGAATGTGGTATAAAAATAATACCACAATAGTGATACAAACAATCCTGAGATTGCTTGGACAGGAATCAAAAGTTCAACCAAATCAACAACAACAATTCAGTGTAATTCCACAAGTAGGGTCTGAGGAGGGAAGTGTGCATGCAGCCTTACGCCTACCTTGCGAAGGTAGAGAGGTTGTTTCCGATAGACCTGGCTAAAAGTTCAACCAAATATTGGATAAAATTTCCACATTTTATCCCGGGATTATTTTCCCTTACGATTGAAACAGAATGACCCCTTAGTATAAAGGGAGCATGTCGTACGGCACTGATAGCTCGATAAACTTGATAGACCGCAGTGGAGACTCCGATTGAGTCATATAAACATGTCACAACTTGTACATATTCTTTTTTTGACACCAACTCAGTTTTGATTAATGAAATGTTTGACTTATCAAGAAGAATGTAGTTGTAAATCCAGACATATCGGAAGCTCTCTGAGGATAGCTAACTGTCAACCACAAATAATAATAGAAATCATATGCTAAGAGGTGAGCCAAACATGGAAAAAAAAAGGAACAGCATTACCAATCGTTAACACATAATGCAGTTCTGTTAACCATTGGCTGGGCAAATTAATAGAAAAAGGAAAGGACCACTAACAGTTAGTCTTGAGATGAGGGGAACATGTTTTGGCGATGGATGTGTCGTGGCGTGGAATCCAAATGTCAGGAAGATCGACGGGTGTGAGGGGTGGAAACCGTAGGCGGTGTTTATTTGCCCTCTGCGCCGACGAATGAAATGCCTTCTCCAACATTCGATAGAACATTGCCGCTCTATCTTGCATCTCGCTGCTCAAATAGTGAATCTTTTGACTAGTATGGATATAAAAAGGAACACTTTTGAGTTCTCTGAAAGGACGGTGGGAAAAAGTTTTGGAACCAGTCACTCGCCAACTACAAAGGGGAACTTTCTCGGTTTCCAATTTGAATTTTACTGTATTTTTTTGGGAGAAATTAAAAAATAGCCAGATTTTTTACTGGTCGTTGAAAAATAGCCAAGTTTCAAAAGTCATCGAAATTTAGCCACTTTAAATCTGAGCGAAAATACTGTTCAAAATCCGGAAAAATACGCCTGCAAATTTTACGGGAGTTCCAGCATAAGTATGCTGGAACTCCCGCAAATTTTACGGGAGTTCAAGCATAATTATGCTGGAACTCCCGTAAATTTTACGGGAGTTCCAGCAAGTATAATTGTCCAGTATAATATACTGGAGCTTGGAGCAGTGATGCTCCAGTCTCCCGCAAATTTTACAGGAGTTACCAAAGTATACCTGTCCAGCATAATATGCTGGAGTTCGTACACAAATGCACCACAACTCCTATATATTATACTGGACCGGTCCCTGTTGCAGCAAAATAGTGGCTATTTTTCATTGACTTGGTAAACGCTGGCTATTTTTCATTGACCAGTGTGAAAACTGGCTATACCATGATATTTTAACTAATTTTTTGGCAGCAATAGCCATTTTTAAGCCCACTATTTAAAAAATATTCACAGTTTACAATTTATTTAAAGATTAGTCAATTCATCAAAATTTCAGCACTAAGTATCCTAAATTTGGAAAGTCAGGACTTAGTGTCCTGAATTTTGAGCTGCTAATTTGAAATTCATGAATATGTATCCTGAATTTCTGAACCACTAATTTAAACTTCAGGACATAATTCAAACTTAAGGACATATTTTTTTGAACTTTAGGACACGATTTCAGGACATAAGATTCGAATTTCAGGATACAATTTTCAAACTTTAGGACACGATGTCCTGAAGTTTGAATTTTAAGGTTTAAACTCTAGGACGTCGTGTCCTGAACTTTAAACGAAATTGGCTAATATTTAAACACATTGTAAGTTGTAGATATATTTTAAATAACATGCTTAAAGTGGCTACCTGACGTCATTTCCACTTTTTTTTATGTACCAATTTCTTCTCTAAAATACTACTACCCCTTTACTCCATATTAATTTTTATGGTTTCTCTCCTCATTTTAAAATATATTTAAGTTTAATGGTCTTAACTATAATATAGTTAGTCTAACTTATTTGTTATTATAAAATGTATCATTTAAAAAGTCTTTATTAATGTCATGACCCAAATTCCATTATAGGTCGTGATGAGTCCCAACACCACTGTTAGGCAAGCCAACACCAATAAACTAGTGAGTTCCCATTTATTAAACAATTCCAACATCTAACTTTACTTAAATTCAAAGAATTTGAAAAATAATGGATTTTGAAGGTAAGAAAAACGAAAACCACTAGAAGAAATCATAACCATAGAAATACAACTCAAAAATCAAGTCTACTAATATGTGCCAAGATCTAGTGTCACAAGTGTGTGGGCAACTAGCAGAATATACAAAGATGACTATCCTACTGTTTAAAATAGAATAGACAGGCATAAACAAATGAGTAACTCTGGCATGCTGCTGAACGGCTCGAAAGGGGGCAGGTCACCATGAAGTCTCAGTCTAAGCTCAAGTATGTGCACCGGGTGGGTATATCAAAAAAAAACTCCGGCATGCTGTTGAACGGCTCGAAAGGAGGCAAGTCACCGTGAAGTCTCAGTCCAAGCTCAAGTATGCGCACCAGGTGGGTATATCATACAAATTCTTAAGTAGATGAGTATATCCTTCTATAATTATTTTACAGATTTTAGCATGACTTAAGTGACTATAATAGCAAGTAAGGACGCAAGTATTTCAAATATAGCATGATACGATTCCTAAACTACCCGGACAATAACATAATAGTAGCTACGTACGGACTCTCGTCACCATGTATATATGTAGACCCCACAGATAGGTACATACATTTATTTAATTCACTTATGTGGTTAATTCCCTTTTAAAAGGTTAGAAAGGAGACTTACCTCGTATCAAGCCTACTTCCCAATTCAAGAACGCGCTCAAACCTCCAAATTTGACGCCAAACGACTCAAAACTATTCAAACATTACATAAACTAATCTATCTATGCTCAAAAGTTCATAATTCCACCATTTAAATGATTACCCACCTAAATTGCAAGATTTCTAAAATTCACCCTCGGGCCCACATGCTCAGATTCCAGGAATTTTTAAAGCAAGTTGTCACCCATAACCTTAGGAACACAAATATATGATTTCTACTAAATCCCATAACACATTTTCTGGTTAAATCTTATTTTTGTCAAAAATCCTAGATTTTCACCTAAACCCTTGATTTTCCCCAATTTTTACATGTTAATCTACCCATAATCTATATATTGAACTCACAATAGGTAGAAATTACTTACCTCCAAAAGCTAGGTGAAAATCTCTCTCAAAAAGCTCCAATAATTGCCCAAACAGTGAGAAAAAATGAGTGAAAATGGCTTAAGTCCCGTATTATATGAAGTGCACTGCCTCCACCTTTTTCACACTTGCGATCGCTGGGCCGCATCTGCGCCCCCGCTTTTGCGGTTAAGGGTCTGCTTCTGCGGAAATGGGCTGGGTTGGCTGGCATCGCACCTACGGACGGGCTCCCGCTTCTGCAGGAAGGGATCCCCTTCTGTGGCGCCTGGGCTACCCTTCCCTGGCCGCTTCTGCGGTGCTTGGCCTACACTTGCTAGCTCGCACCTGCGTTTGACCAACCGCAGGTGCGGTTAAGACAGCAGCTGGAGCTTCAGCTCTTGCTCTAACTTTCAACTTGGTCCGGGCCTCGTCCGATTGATGCTCGGGGCTCCCGGGGCCCCGCCCGAATATACCAACAAATTTGGAATCATAAAACGGACTTGCTCGAACTCACGGAGCGCCCGAAACAACATTAAAACTAAGAATCACACCCTAAAACCAATTGAATCAAACTTATGAACTTCAAGTTCTTCAATTTACTTCCAATGTGCCGAAACGTACTTATACTACTCGGAATGACACCAAATTTTGCGTGCAAGTCTTAAATGAAATTACGAAACTATTCCTGGTCTCTGAATTCCGTTTGGACCTTGATATCACCAAAACTCGCTCCAAACCAAATTTAAAGAACTTCTAAAAACATTCAAGAACCAACTTTAACTATTAGTCGCCAAAACGCTCCCGGGTCACCCAAAACCCGATCTGAGCATATGCCAAGTCCGAAATCATCATGCGAACCTGTTGAAACCTTCAAATCCTGATTCCGAGGTTGTTTACTCAAAATGTTGACCAAAGTCAAACTTGGCCTTTTAAGCCAACCTTAAGGAACCAAGTGTTCCGATTTTAATACAAACTCTTCCAAATCTCGAACCAACCATCCTCGCAAGTCATAAATCAGTAAAAGCAAGTACGGGAAGTCTTATTTTAGGGGGGATTCTAGAAAGCAAAATGACCAGTCGGGTCGTTACATTCTCCACCTCTTAAAAAAACGTTCGTCCTCGAACGGGTTTAGATTCATACCTGAAGTGCTGAATAAGTGCAGATATCTGCTCCGTATGTCCTCCTCGGATTTCCAGGTCGCCTCCTCGACTGTTTGGCCCCTCCACTGAAATTTTAGCGCGAAAATCCTCTTGGATCTCAACTGGCGATCATGTCTATCAACAATAGCAATTGGCTCCTCCTCATAACCCAAGCTCTCATCTAGTTGAATAGTGTTGAAGTATAACACATGTGACAAGTCGCCGTGGTACCTCCGAAGCATAGACACGTGAAAAATCGGATGAACCCCTGATAGGCTGGGAAGTAAAGCAAGCTCATAAACAACCTCCTCAACTCGCCTCAACACCTCAAATGGGCCTATAAATCTTGGTCTCAACTTTCCCTTCTTTCCGAATCTCACAATCCCTTTCATCGGCGAGACTTTCAAGAGAACCTTCTCGCCTACCATAAATGATACATCACGCACCTTCTGATCTGCGTAACTTTTCTGCCTAGACTGTGCTGTGTGGAGTCGCTCCTGAATCAATTTTACCTTTTCCAAGGTATCCTTCACTAGATTAGTACCATATAACCTAGCCTCGCCAGGCTCAAACCACCCAATGGGAGAACGACATCACCGTCCGTATAAATCCTAAAATGGAGCCATCTCGATGCTGGACTGATAGTTATTGTTATTAGCAAACTCGGCCAAGGGCAAGAACTGATCCCACTGCCCTCCAAAGTCAATCACACATGCTCTGAGCATGTCCTCCAGGATCTGAACTGTCCGCTCCAACTGCCCTTCTGTCTGTGGATGAAATGTTGCGCTGAGCTCTACGTGGGTCCCCAACTCACTCTGTACGGCTCTCCAGAAATAGGAAGTGAAGTGAGGGCCTTTATCTGATATGATGGAAACAGGCACACCGTGAAACCGAACTATCTCCTGAATATAAATCTGGGTCAACTTCTCTAAAGTATAGGTAGTCGCAACCGGAATGAAGTGTACCGACTTGATCAACCTATCGACAATGACCCAAGCTGCATCAAACTTCCGCAAAGTCCGCATCAATCCAACTACAAAGTCCATAGTGATGCGCTCCCATTTCCACTCGGGTATAGTCATCTGCTGAAGTAGGCCCCCCGATCTTTGGTGCTCATACTTAACCTGCTGGCAATTCAAGCACCTAGCTACATACTCTACTATGTCTTTCTTCATCCTCCGCCACCACTAATGCTGCCTCAGGTCACGATACATCTTCGTAGCACCTGGATGAATAGAATACTGAGAACTGTGTGCCTTCTCTAGAATCCTCTCCCTTAAGCCATCAACATTAGGAACACATAGGCGACCCTGGGGTCGCAGAACACCATCCTCGCAAATAGAAACCTTCTTCGCACCACCTTGTAGTACCGTCTCTCTGAGAACTGCCAAATGTGGATCATCAAACTACCGAGCCTTGATCTGCCTCAATAATGAAGATTGGGCAACAACACATGCAAGAACTCGGCTAGGATCTGAAATATCCAACCTC